GATGGGTGAACTGTGTGTGCATCTGTAATGTGGGTTACTAGTTGAGGCGTGTGTGTTTGTGTATAAAATATGGTCTACTCGCGGAGGTATGTACCGTACCTGTGTGATCTGGGCTACAAAATGAAGTTTGTGTGTCTGTATATAATAGGGGCTACACGATTAAGATTTGTGTGTGTGTGGAATAAAAACTGAGGTTTGCATGTGTATGTTGGGTGGGCTACTGGCTGATGGGTGTGACTACTGAATGAGTTTTGTGTGTGTGCATGTGTTGCTAGCATAGTCACCAGAGGCAGCTGTTACTGTGTAATAAACCACTCTCTGTAGTTTGCTGAACAACTGTAACCTGGTTACTGATTGCATTTGGCTGAAAAGCAAAGAAAAAAAAAATCTTTCCAGTGAATAAGCCCCTGATTCACTCCTGCCAAACAATAAACCACAAAGGGCTGCAGAGATGAAATCATGGCTCCATGCAGACAGCCAAGCACTGAAGGAGGAGGGGAACTGGGTTTGCTCCAGAAGAGTGGGTGGGGTTTTGTCAGCCCTGCAGAACAGGGTTCTCTCTCTGATCCCCACCAGCGTTGTTAGCATGCAGGAAATGTGGCCAGATGGACTTTGACATGGTGGGCCAAATCCATCCCTAGGGTAAACCAGTGCAGTGGAGTTGCGTCAGTGATTAATCTGATCCAGAGAAAAGCCTTTGGCTGTGGTTGAAATAATTCTACAGCCTCTGCCTTCTCTTTCTCTTAAAGGGTGGTTAGGCTGGGGCCAAGCAGGGGAGTCCAAAGGTGGATCCTGAGAAGATACCTCTCATGGACCAAGGCCAAGATGGGCCTCCCTAGCTCTGGGAGTTGAATTCCAGGCCTGAGTAGGGTGTGTACACTGAAAACAAATGATCCAGCAGGCATGTTCCACTCAAGTAGCTTCATGTTCAACCTTTGGAGCAAACTCCCTTTCCACTACCTCTCCAGAGAATCCAGTCTGGCCCTACTCCCATTCTACCCCACCCATTTTACTGTAGCCCAGTGCCACGCTGGCAGATTAAACAAGGTGTACACTGAAAATTCCAAGCACATTCCTAGATGAAACAGGCAACACCCTCTTCCAACACACCAGAGGATTTGCTAGGGAATCATACCCTCTATTTTGGTAGCCCATCTCTGCAAATGGCCAATCCCTGATGCTACTGAAGAAGGCTACCCTCCCCCCGGCATACCCCTCAGGGTCTTTGTGATTAATTATACAGTATTATCTCTGACGGGAAATTTCTTTCCTACCCCCTCCAGACAGAGATCAGTTTGTAGTTCTCTGCAGCATAGGATTATATTCAATAATTTAGGCCCTGACCTTGCTGCCGTGGAAGCCAATGGGAGTTTTGCATTTGACGTCCAAGGGAGATTTATCAGGCCCTTGTCCTGGGTAGCATTAGCTGCAAATGCAGTTAGCATAACAAATTTTATTAGCAGTCCATCTATCCAAGGTGGTATTAAAGCAACAAATACAATGAGCATCCATGTTCACTAAATGCATTGCTTCCAATTTCACTTCCCTGTCCTGAGGGAGCACGGCCTAGCCCTAGTGATTAAGGCACAGAACAGGCAGTCAGAAGAACTGGCATCTATTTCTGACTCTGCAGCTCCTTGTGATAGGGGAATTATCTTTTTATGTGGCAATCAGTAAAACTATCCTTCGCTTTGCTTTGGGTTCACTTAAAGGTCTTTCAGGGAGAGCAGCATATGGGGGAAAGGAGGTTTAGAGACAATGAGTGCACAGTGGGGAGGCCACAACATGAACAGGCTGCAGAGGAAACTGATAATATACAGGGCAATGGCCAGCTAGGAAGGCACTGAAATAAATTCACTGCAAGGTTCGCTGGAATTGACGACTTTTTTCTTGTTCACAGATCTGTAAACAGAACTGCAAGTAAATGCCAATAGCAGGGTTTTTAATTATTCATCATTGCTGCAATACTGTATATGTCTGCAGTGTTCAGTCATATTTTTAAGCACTGGACAGAGTATATTCTTGCCATCAGCAGAGGTAATGTTAACAGACCTCCTGCCAGAATCTGGGCATGCAGAATGTCCAGTCAAATTGTCTCCGTTTACTGGAATGCTGCAGTCTTTTCAGAAACCAAGACGTGTTTTGTCCTGGGACTCCCTCTTGTGTTAAAAAGGCTTAATAACCAGAGATGCTCCCAGCTCCTCTGTATTTCTATAGCAATTCTCCTCCTGAAGCACTTTATAAAGTTAGATTGCTGTGAGATAAGACACAGGGAACATTTTGCCTATTACTGAGGTGCTTCTAGAGCAGAACATGCCAGCTGTCCAACAGCACAAAGCAATATCACAATAATGTACCAAAAAAGAGCTGTATATCGCGGAGCATCATTTTGAGCTGTTAAATAGCTGCCGAGTTCCACCCTAGAGGTGGCTGCACTTCAGGCCCATCAATTTGCCTGATGTGGAAATCTTAAATTGGACTCAACGTCAGTCAAATTCAGAGACCCAGATGTTATATTTAGGTCCAAGTTCCCCCACCCCAAAACTTTTTTTGCACTGATTTTAAGGCAGGTTTAAAAATCCCTGACTCTTGTGAAAGAGGATATTGATAGTGTACATTTCAAGGGGGTTTCTTACCTTTCAGAATCCATCTTGCACGAAGCCATGGGGAGGCCATTTCACAGTAGTTACAGGATGGCAATATCGTCCTGCCAAGCAGTCTTCTGTGATGTGGCACTGGGTAAGAAGCCAGGGCAGTCGTGTACAATTTTAAAACCTCATCCTTCTATTTTCTTTTTATCTTGTCCATTTAAATTAGTCAGAGTAATTACCAGAGCCCACTTTCCCCCAGACGTTTATAAAGCTGAATCTTCTGCTGGGAAATATTGGCTGCATGGCCAAAACGTGGCTTTCAAATAAATCCTCGCCCCTCAAGGGAATTCAATGAAAATGCAAGTCCTACACATAAAGCAAGCTTTGGCAATGGGCACTTAATAGGGTCTCATATACTTCACTGCCCACCCTATGGCCACTTTTACATGATATTAGGTGGACAAAGGTTTCCTGTATACAGAATATAGGACCTCATAGGCTATATGTCAATGAGTAGCGTGACCATATTTCCCGAAGAGAAAACAGGACACCCCCAGCTGTTTGCCCAAAGCCCCCCCCCATGCTGTTGCTGGCTGGAACCCCCCCTCACAGCGAGGTTGTTGCCCGATCACTGGAACCCTGCTCCCCTCCCCAGCCCTGCCTCCCCCCTATGGGGGGTTGGCATCTCCACTCACCCCCTCTACACTGCTACTTTTTTTTTTTTTTAAACAAAAGTGGGCATTTGTCCCGTTCGCTCTTGGCCACTGATCAAGTCAGCAAGAACAAAGAGGACAAATGCCTCCTTTTGGGGAAAAAAAGTAAGGATGGCCGGGACAGGGCTTTAAAAAGGGACTGTGTCTGGGCCAAAATGGGATGTATGGTCACCTTATCAATGAGAGCTATATGGCATAGAGGTGTATGGGGCTATGTGGCTGCTGGGGACTATATGGGACAATAGACAGGCCAAGGGACTATATAAGGACTATATGGACCCTGGATGTGTAGGGTTCTATAGGGTCTATATCAGACCTAGAGAACTATACAGGCTTAATGGGCCTGAGGGGGCTATATGGGAGTTGAGGATAATTATATGGGGCTGTATAGACTCTGGGAGGGGCTATAAGGGATTTGGGGGGGCTCCATGCTCCTTGAGCAGAGACATAGATATAGTTGTAGATATAGATGGGACTTGAAGACCCCATGGGAGTGGGAAGGGTTCTATAGGCGCTAGGAAGCTATACGAGACCTGGGGAGGGAGGGCTCTATGGGCACTAGGGAGCTATATGGACCTGGGGAGGGAGGGCTCTATGGGTACTAGGGAGCTATACAGGACCTGGGGAGGGAGGGAAGGAGGGCTCTATGGGCGCTAGGGAGCTATACAGGACCTGGGGAGGGAAGGCTCCATGGGCGCTAGGGAGCTATACAGGACCTGGGGAGGGAAGGCTCCATGGGCGCTAGGGAGCTATATGGGACCTGAGGAGGGAAGGCTCCATGGGCGCTAGGGAGCTATATGGGACCTGAGGAGGGAGGGCTCCATGGGCGCTAGGGAGCTATATGGGACCTGAGGAGGGAAGGCTCCATGGG